TTTCGCGCCATCTATCGTGCAATAGTAGTATTGGACAATGATTCTGTCATATAATAAACTTAAGAGCTTTTGCCAAAAGCTTTAGCTAGCAAAGCCTTCGCATGTAAAATTTATTTGAGTGCAACGGCAAATACGAATTTAGTGAAAAAGCGTGAAAAGTTAAAATATTGCTCGTTTTAAATATTTAATAATTAATAAAGTAAAAATTCATGAAAATTCCAAAAAAAAAAATTTTTGATTATAAACTAGACTTTGGTAAGTGAATTTTATTATAAACTTTACAGCTTTAAGGCCGATTTTTTTTCCTTTTTTACTTATTATTTTTATTTGCAGTGCGTGCTACCAAGTAGAGCTTTGGAACCTTGGCTAGAGCGCAATATCCGTGCGGTTAGATAGCATATTGCTGTAAAGCCAGCATTGAATACCTAGTCTGACCAACATCAAAAAATTATAAAAAAAAAACTATGTATTTGTCCCTTAGCAAGGAATGGCAACCTCTCCGAGTGTTTAGGGTCTTCCTATAAGAAAAAAAGGGTTTCCCAAAAATCACAAAGGCAGGCTATTCCGGGTTTAGATAACTGATCGCTTAGACATAGTGGAGAACTACAAGCCTGAAGAGCAAATGTGGTTGCTAGACAAGTTGCGACCTGCGACCAAGCAGATTCATCTATATAAAGAACGTATCGTCACAAGCAATTAGCTACTTAAGGAATTAATTTTTAGATCTGCCCCAAAAATGAAGAGAAGGAAATGGTTGTAGGTGAAGAATCGTTCTGCTATAAGTAATATATATATTATTAGCGCTTTTTAACCGCTGAAGCGATTTTCCGCCGAGCTCCTCCTCCAACTTGTAGTTTTGCGTCTTGATGTTTTTTCCAACAAATGGCGGGACCTACAGTTTATACTAAGCCGCCACCGAACGGCTGATGGTTTTTTATGAGGAACTTTATCTCATATCAGAAATATACTCGGAGGGGCTGACGTTCCCTGCCGAGGGCGACCGCAATTTGAAAATTTAACTTAAGTTTGTATTTAAATTAATTTTCTATAACTTTTGGATGTTGATCGCAATGCTAACCACTTGGCTACCGCGGCCGCCAGTAGACTTAATAAAATTCGTCTCCCGAATGAAAGAGGTTAGATTAATATTCGTAGTAAATCAATGGACATAAGTACCTACATTCCAAGAAATCACCAACTTCAGTCTAACCTTTAACCGCACTTTTCAGTCAACTTGATTTTCTGACACTCGGAAACAAGTGCATTGAGTTATACCTGACACGTTTATTGATTTTTTCGTTGCCACTCCGACATTTTTGGCCTTAAAGCCTGATTTTTACTACAAAAATATTATTTGTCTTGTTTGTGGGAACCTCCATATGAGTGTAAATGTATGTGTGTGTATGTAAAAGAACTAAAACAATTTCTTTCTTAAGACTTTAGTACAACCAATCCTTTACTAGGAAATGTATGCACGATTTTTTTTTTTAATTTCGATAAACATATAAGGAAATGTAATGTAATATATCGATAAGCTAGGCTTACAATAAATCAACTTAATACCGGGTTCACAATAGTTTCTTACACATTTACTGAAACGATTTACACGTTGAATTGAGACATCAAAAGATATATAGATTATAACTGCATCTCTGTCAGTTGGAAAGCAGAACAGGATATTCTTTTATACTACATAAAAGAAGCTTCATTTTAACCGCCAAAATCATTTCTTTAGCAGTTTCCCCAGTTGAAAAAAATCATTCTAAATCATTGTTCGCCTACAGAAACTTAGAAATAGACCAAGTTGGGTATTTTTGTAGTAAAAGCAGTTTCTATATTTCGTTATAATGAAATTAATATGTATGTATGTAAGCATTACTAACCGTCGAAATAAAGGGTGTTTTCTTCTTAGATTTTTCAATGAGGCAATACTGTTGATCTTTTTGACAGCTGTCACTTGATTCATACCCAGTTGGGTTTGCTATTTCATAATCTACAGTCTTACGCAGAAACAACAACAACAAGCACATTTTCGGTTCAATGGGTAGGTTAATAAACAAACGCAGTTACATCTCCAAAAAGCGGAGGGAATCATTGGCCGATATTTCCTGAATTAGGTAGGCTGATGTGGATGACCCTTGATTCCAACAAAACGGTCCTACAACCCATTCAGCCATCGATAAAATTAATTAATTGAAGGAAACGACATTATCTCTCATCGTGGGCTTGTGGCGAGGTCTACGTAGATAAGCCTTAGATGGTGCACGCCTTGGAAGACGGCATCCGACGCGTTATTGCTGACATATGGACACTACAAAATGTGAAAATAGGGCCTCACGACTGAAATTTATTCAAGCCAACCGCGGCGATTATTTGCCTGACCATTTATAAAACCGTTATTCCTAAAAAAAAAAAACACCCTTTATCAATATCGATTCACTACATTTAAAATGAAATGGTAATATGAGTAAATAAATAAATTAAAAAAAAAAAATTTACAATAAACAATTTTTGTTGCAATATGACACACGATCAACGCACTTGTTGCTGTCCAAGGCTTGGAATTGTTTAAACAATATGTGAACAAATAAAATTAAAAATATAAACAAAGAGAGAAATAGAGCACTTATTGTTCATGTTTTATTTATTTAACAAGTTTTTTTCTTTCTATTGTAGACTAAACATACATACTTATGCACATATGTATGTATTTTATATAAGTGTTCGATATAAAAATACCTGGTCAATATTTGAGTGATGTGGCAAAGTCGTTCGTCGATAAAACAAAAATAAAAAACAATTGAACTAAGCTAGTTATGTAAGTAACGAGTCTACCTTTTCCACATTTTTGGTTCTTTTTTGAGCTGTGGGTTTTGTAATGATTTTTACTGAAGCACCCTTAAAGCCTTTGAATCGCAATTAGTTCAATTGATGACCCCATTCAGTAATGGGATGAGTGATTTGACTACTAAGAGACGCTTTTAAGAGAGAGAGAGAGAGGAGGTTGAGGTCTCTTGCTCTTACCGCTACAAAATTTTGGCTGTGAGGTGCACCCCATATATGAGTCTGTTCAAGCTAGAAAACAAACCTTCGAAGAACAATTAAGCTCCCATAAAAAGAGGAGAACGAAAACTTGATTTTGCGTAAGATTTATGGTCCTCCACAAGTTGTGAACGGCGACTACCGTAGCCGATGAAACGATGAGCTGTACGAGTTATACGATGATATTGATATAGTTCAGCGAATAAAGAAACAGCGGCTGCACTCGCTAGGTGATGTGATCTGAATCGATAAAAATGTTCGAGCTTTGAAAGTATTCAATAGCGTACCCGCCGCAGGAAACAGAGGAAGGTAAGTCCGCCACTCCATTGAAACTATCAGGTGGAGAAGAAGAGTATGGTGTACTTGGTATGTCCAATTGGTGCCAAACAGGGAAAAGAAGAAATGAATGGTGAAATGCTCTTAATTCGGTTATAATCGCGTAAGCGATGTCGACGCCAGTAAAGAAGAAGAACGACATAGGAGATGCAAGAACATGAACAGAGAATTTGTTATTTTTTCTTAAGATAAAGAAGTTTGAGTTAAACCCTCCTATCTCATCATACCTGGTCCAAAACAAGGAAGTTAAATTTTTTCCACTGTACAGCCTCTTCTAAAGAGTACTCTTGATCCCTTTAGACATCTGTGGAAACAGTGGTATCACCACAACCCTCGAGAAGTCTATAAATGCTTAGCGTTATTAAGATGCTCTCCTTTCTGGAATTGTGCTCTACAGGAGATGGCCAAACAGAAAATACTGATTCTTGGCGAGACAGAAACTTGCTAGACCAGAAAGAGCACGCCCGAGCAGCTGTTCTGTATACAGTATATCGAAGCAAACTTTTCGGAAATGGGTTCGGCAGAAGACAAGCGAAATTTACTGCCTTAAAAGGCTGGAGATCTCATATGTAGTGAGAGTTTTAACAGACTATCGATTGGTAGAACAACATACAGAACAATTTGCTGGTCGTTAAGCCGTGCGGCAACTAATTGCATCTGAGATATACGTTGGGTATGCCGGAAGCGAGCCACGATAAGTCGAAGTTTTTCTTGCTTAGCAATCTGACCGTAATTACATACATAACCAGGCAACTCGAACTCTATGTCTGCTAAGGGTTATGGTTAAATCCCGATAACGCCATTCGCTGGAAGAGAGCTAATGAAGGTGGCTGCAGACTCTCTGTGAATTGCATTTAGAACCTGTTAGTAGATCTTCGTAGCATCCAGCAACTGACTATAGTCAAGTAATTCTGTCAAGTTCTGCCTGCGGGGTAACGGTATTTCGCCACATTGTGAAAAAAATTATGTTTGTTCTTCTACAGATTTTCACATTTATATATATTTTAATATTTAGCACTGCCATTATTTTTACCGAACTTACATGTATGTAAACATGTATAAACACAAACAGAAAAAACGTACAACAGATCCTCTCATCGTGCTCAGCAGAGCTCACAGCCCTCAGCTTCTGAAAGGCAGCAACGTCACTTGACCACTTAAGGTGAAGCTAACAGCAGCGTTCTCACTATCACAAAACTAACTGTTTTTCCACAAATTGACAGGTGAGTAAATGCTTATAAATGTTATAAAAATGTTAGAGACGTATGTATGTATGTATGTAGAGAAATAGATATTTGAGCATTTAAATATATTTGTATTTCATATGTCAGACTTAAGCTTACTTACAAACCTTCCAGACCTTCAACAAACAATCACCCAACCGCACCCAAACGCTCTCACCCACAGATGAGAAACGTAGAGCCGCAGAGCTACACCGACAGTCAACGTGCTGCCATCCCCCAATTAAGTATACTCACTCTCTCGCACAACATTTCGCCGGTTGTTTGCTGTACGCCGGTAGCAACGCGCTCAGCGCTTCGTATCAGTACGGTATCTCAAACGCCTGCCGGCCTCTGCTGCGCGCTCTGCATGCGTACTGCATGGCGTATTTAAGCGCTGAGCGCACCACCCAACCGTCGTAGTCTGTTCAGAAACACTCGTAGGTTCAGCTGTGCAGTAGCAAAAGGCTTCAGAGGATTCGGTTAATGTGTGTTTCAATTTTATTTTATTTTGTTTTATTTTATTGAAATTTTTAATTTTTTTTTTTTTTTTTTTGTTTTAATAAAAAATTTTTTTGTTTTAATAATTTGAATTTTTTTTTTTCATTTTNAGCTGTGCAGTAGCAAAAGGCTTCAGAGGATTCGGTTAATGTGCGTTTCAATGTTATTTTTTTTTTTTTTTTTTTTTTGAAATTTTTAGTTTTTTTTTTTTTTTTTTTGTTTTAATAAAAAAATTTTATGTTTTAATAATTTGAATTTTTTTTTTTCATTTTTTTTAGTTCATATAAAATTTTGAAGCAAATTAAGTGTATATTATTCGAAAATTTGGATTTAAGGTAAGAATAAAATGAAATAAAAATTATAATTTTAATAAAAAAAAAATCGCTACTTTTTGCTGGAGTGTTTATTGTGTTGACTGGAAGACTTGGAGAGCATAAATTAAATTAAAAATATTTTTTCAAAAAAAAACATTATTTTTAATTCTTTAACAAGTTTTAATTGAAAAGTGTTTAAATGATGTAATGTTGAAATTTAGCAGAAAATTTAATTGAACTCTTTTTTTTTGCGTATTTATTTTTATATTTTCGAAATCGAGAAAGTGGCTACGTTAGAAAATATACAACAATTCGAAACAATGAAAGGAAATCCATTGTAAATGCTATTGATGTGTGTGTTTGTGCGCTTATTTGTGTGTGTATGTGTGTGTATATGTGCGTGTAATTTTTTTTCCTGCAGCCGTTTGAGTGAATTGATGTCATTTCGAAATTTATAAAAAGCTTACAACAATCACACAGTTTTGTTTTTGTTAATTTGAAAATTCGATAATCGACGAAATCAATTGATACCAATGGGTATAGCCAGCGGTACATAGAATGAGAACACAAAAAGTAGAAGCAGAAAGCGAAATGAAAATTCACACTTAAATGTAGCAAAAGGGTTAACAGTAAATTAGTCGCACGCATTTTAGTGGCAGTGGGCGCGTGAACGTGAACCGAGTGCGATCTCAAAAAACTGTTTCAGGGACAACGTGCAACGAGTAAGTTCGGAAAAAAACATTCAACGGATCATAACCAAATATGCAGAGGATTTTTATAAAATTAAAAAAAAAAAATTAAATTAAATTAAAAAAAAAATTATTTAATTAAAAAAAATTAAATTAAAACGCTGCGCCGTGGAGTTAGTGCTTTGAGTTTAGTTTAAAAAAAAAATTATTTTCAGTGCTGAAGTGAATTTATTATCAATCTCTATTGAATTTTTGACCCACTTAAGTTTTTCATACCTACACACTTCAATACTTGATTATACAATCTATAATAAAAAAAACTGTAATAAAAAAAATCTGTTTATAATACCATTTTAAGCACTTTAGTTGATATTTATGGCAAAACAGTTAAAAGTTGCGTTAAATTTGTTTTCGTAAACGTTTGAAGAATCGTAACGAAAATTTTGAAATTTTATAACCATGACCTAACCTCAACTTCGATAATATATAATATATGGAATAGCAAAGAAGATTTCTTAAATAAATAATTATTATTGCCAAAACTGACCTACAGAGATGAGTTAAGGGGAACTAACCAGGCCTGGTGTCGAAAACTTCAGTGAAATTCCATAAAATAACTTCACGGATGTTTTTTCTCTTTTCAACAATGAGAGCAACGGTTAGTGAGTTTAGAAAGAGCTCCTTATGTAAGACCAAAACTGGCTCTAAACCGATTTCGAAAGGTTTTTGCTTTGATTTTTTTGTATTGTCATTGGCTCCAAAATAATATTGGTTGGTTGTTTGAAAGGTGAGGTTTGAAAGCTGAATTTTGAACCTGACTGCCGGCTGCTAAAATTAAGACATTGACAATTTTATCTTCGTCAAAAGCTCACATATAACCCTAAAAATCTTTGTATGCATTCCTCTATTAATTTGTTTCTTCGATCTGAAAAGCCACTGATATGAAGAAAAACAATTTTATGCGGTCAGTACTTACAATGTATGTACTTGAGCTGAGTTTATACGGCTGCTGATCAGCACGACCAGCGCACTTACACCTGAAAGCTCATTATGACACCGCTTCTCACCTTCTCAGATGTACGAACCATTCAGGGGTTCTATACCAGCCGTTGCTATATTAGCCAGGCAATCAAGGCGGTGATATCCTAGTTACTTATATACATATGTCGTATGGTGCTTAGAGTCGGACAATGTCAGAGGTAATGCTCGGCATACTCTTCCTGTTCTTCGTCTCTATAAACTATGACGATTTTAAATAATTATTTTTCAGGTTAGATATCTCTAGCTAGATCTCTAGCTAACCTCACTCCGGCTAAAGCTTCGATATTTTATGAGTTCTTGAGAGATCTGGCATTTCTAACTTTCCTTTCATCGAATTCCCTTTTGTTAAAACACATAGCGAAGAGTCAATAGAGCAGGATTGATTCTGTGCAAGAATGGTGAATCCCGCCCATCAACCAGCCGTTCAGAGGTGACTTGGTATAAGCAGGTAGATCCACTAGATATTTAAACCCATGCAGGTAGTATGGCGAAGAAGCGCGGTCGAAAATCGTGCCAATGGTTACCAACTGTACGGTGTGTTCTCTTACTATTTAAATTTCTTATGGCTTTAGCGGTGCCTGGTCCAAAGATTCGAAATCTACTTCTAATTATATCAGAAAGGAAGGTTGAGTGCTGAGGAACCGATCACTTTTCATCATCACTTCGATTCCCTGATAAATTTCATTAAACAATTTATCTTGTTGTCTGATATCTTTTACAAATCATCCTAGTTATCGGAACATAGCTTTGCCCAAAGCGGGGCAGTCACACAAGAGATGTCAGACCATTTCTTGCTGCACATTCTCTTGAGAGGAACTCCCAGCCTGCCGCTTATCGTCGTATCCAGCAGTGCCCTGTCCTTGCTTTTGAGAGAATATTTTTCGCGTGACTTTTTTCGGTCCCATTTCGGCAAAGTTTGCCTAGAATTCTGCAAGTAGCAGTGTGGATTCATCTTAATCGTCTTGCTCATAACTAAATAAACTAAATAAAAATCAGCCTCGTCATTTCTCGCCGGACAATTTCCCAGGGACACAATGAGAGATAATGCCAACTCTCGCAAAAATCGGCTACACTCCAGCACAATTTTGGAAATCATTGTAAGCGAGCTGTGCGACTTAAACGCTAGCTGACTATCGGAGAAAATAAAGATTTCCTTGGTCTTGGTCTCACAACAGATATGAAGATCAAATGACAGATCTTAGGGGTTGAATCCCGTTTCTTATCAATGGTTCTCGTATCTACTTACTATATTGGTTTTACAGTTCAACTTCTTGTCCAGAATTACGCCCAGAAACATTGGATGAATTTACTGTAGATCCAGTAATGTTCTGTACCGGAAGTTCCTGCACTCAAGCCGCCCCACATTTTGTGTTGATCGTTAAATAAACTTTCATTTGGTTAACTCGTTCTTCATTCGATTTTCAGCAACTTTCTGCTAAATTTTCTGTCTTCCAATTTCTTCTACATCTAAACCTTCATATCTGGCAATGTGCCCAGTAAGTCACTATTTTAAAGGTGTTCTAATTTTTTTATTTGTGAGTTTCGAATGCGTTTTTTTTTTGTTAACTTCGAAAGCAATGAATTCTTATGGCAGTTGCATTTTAAAAATAGATAAATGTATGTAAATATTATATATAATATAAAAAAATAAATAAATAAAAAATAAATATTATAAAATATTAAATTAATTTAATTTTAATACAATAAATCATTTAATACAATAAATAAAAAGTAAATAAATCAAAATTATCAAAAAATTAATATAATAAAATAAACTAAATGAATTTAAAATAAAATAAATCAAAATAAAGAGTAAATAAAATAAAATAAAAATTAAATTAAATTTACCAACAAAAAATATCAAAAAAATAAATTAAATTAATTAAAAATAAAATAAAATAAAAATAAAATAAAATAAAAAAAACTAAATAACATTAAGCAAAAAAAACCAAAAATATATGATGAAATAAATTAAACTAAATTAAAATTAAATAAAAAGTAAGTAAAATGAAATAATATAAAAAAAAATTAATTAAATAAAATAAATTAAATGAATTTAAAATAAAATAAAATACATTAAATCAGTATAAAAAGTAAATAAAATAAAATATACAAAAAAAACAAAAAATATCAAAGAAATAAATTAAATGAATTTAAAATAAATTAAAATAAAAGGTAAAAAAAAATAAAAAAATAATTAAAATATACAAAAAAAAAACAAAAAATATATAATGAAATAAATTAAACTAAATTAAAATTAAATAAAAAGTAAGTAAAATGAAATAATATAAAAAAATGAATAAAATAAAATAAATTAAATGAATTTAAAATAAAATAAAATACATTAAATCAGTATAAAAAGTAAATAAAATAAAATATACAAAAAAAAAACAAAAAATATCAAAGAAATAAATTAAATGAATTTAAAATAAATTAAAATAAAAAGTAAAAAATAAAAAAATAATTAAAATATACAAAAAAAAAAATATATATAATGAAATAAATTAAATAAAATTAATCTAAATAAAAAGTAAGTAAAACAAAAAATATCAAAACAAATAAATTAAATGTATTTAAAATAAAAAAAGTTAAACAAAATACGTATACCAAAAAAAAAAATATATATGATGAAGAAAATTAAACTAAATTAAAATAAAATAAAGTAAATAAAACAAAATATGTCAAAAAAATTAATTAAATAAGATAAATTAAATGAATTTAAAGCAAACAAAAATAAATTAAAATAAAAAGTAAATAAAATAAAATAAAAAGTAAATAAATTAAACCAAATTAAAATAAAATAAAGTAAATAAAACAAAATATGTCAAAAAAATTAATTAAATAGGATAAATTAAACGAATTTAAAACAAAATAAAATAAATCAAAATAAAAAGTAAATAAAATAAATAAAATAAAATAAACTAAATTAATTTGAAAAAAAAAAATAAAAATTAAATAATATATAGCAAAAAACAAAAATTATATGAGGAAATAAATTAAACCAAATTAAAATAAAATTAAATAATTTAAATAAATTAAAACAAAATATTATATAAAATAAATAAAGTATTAAAATAAAAAAAATAAAATAAACTAAAGCAAAATAAATAGTATTTAAATTAAATTTAATTGATTAAATATAATAAAAAATAATTAAAAACCACAAATCTTTTCGGAAGTAAAGAGCAAAGGGGGGATAAAAACCGAAATAAATTAAATTTAAATCACTGCACAATAAAAGTCAATTAAACATTGCAAATTGTTGCTAATTCAATTTGACGTTGCTCGTCT